AAGGTTGCTCTTGCTTCACTGTCTCGCACCACTTCTCACTGTAAAACTGCCGAGTCATTTTCTGATGCCAGTGAGAAAATTTAGACGGAGACTTATTGTGTGTGGCATTGAAGAAACTTCAAGTAAATTGACATGTCAATAATTTGATATAAAATGGAACAAAAACTATGGACAAAAATTGTTCCGTGTTTTAACACATTGTATTACCCTTGAGACACTACTACATTCATAAAATGCAGCTATCCAGTCGGTGGTGGCTTTTGACTCAATGCTGATTTTTTTTTAACCCACGTCGGTGAGCTCCTAGGACCTAGTTACGCCAAAGCTACCTTAATGCACGCCCCTGAATGGGATGATTGTAATATAATGTCCCATCTTCCTTACAGCTCGCAGAGAGATGTCGTGTCTGAACATGAAATAACACGTAGTTCCGTTTGCTTAAAGGTTGTGATCATGAGCTTATCTTTTGTTTCAAAAATTTATTTCAAATCCTTTTTTTTAAAGCGCACTGTCCTGTGAACACAGAATAAATTCTAATTAGAAAATGCTCGGACCTTACAATGCCTTCCAGAGGCGTACACCTTCGTTTAATCTTATGCGAGAAGAGCCAGTGGCGTAGGAAAGATGGGGTGGGCAGAGGGGGCGGATGGCCCTGGGGGTGTTTTTCCATTTATAAAAGGGATGCATTTTTAGGCCTGTTGCAGGGTTTTGTCGTGGACGGAAGGCGAGGGGGGGGGGGGGTGGGAGCAAAAGTTTTAACCCGTCCAGGGCGGGACTTACCCTAACTTCGCCCATGGCCATAACGGCAACCAAGTTCAGCTACAACTCCACCTCTTCACCCAAGATAAACCCAATTCAGCTTATTAAAATTTAATGGTATGCTCTCTGGCTTCAGCTTAATTTTAACCTTGAAATCTATGTAGCCCAAATATATTTACAACATTAAAGGAAAATAATATATTTGCGAGTGTTTCTAAAAGGTCCCGACAACATCATTTTGATTAGGGTAGGCTGAAAGATAATTAGGGAGAAGTTCATCGTATACCTGAAATCAGTGATTCTCTCAGGTAAAATTGATCCAGCAAAGTTAAGGGGGGTGGGGGGAAGGACATGTCAGTGGTACAGGGCATCTATCAGGGCATCTTTTAGCCCACAAATTATATATATTAGGGCACCCGATGCCATACGTAACTTGAATTCACTCCAGGTGAGACACACACCAATGTGTTCTTTTTGGCCTAAAAGTAAGTTTTTGCACCCCCCCCCCCCGTACTGTCACATTGTTTGGCATTGGGGGGAGGGGGTGGTTAAAGCAGCAATCTAGGGCGTCGAAGTTTTCCTAGCGAATGCATGGTGAGGTGCTTACCATGGGCTCATCCAGTCCTTCCTCATAAACGTTTTTGAGGAAATTAAAAATGCAGAGATTCATTTTAGCGCTTACTTAAATTTAGTTTAGCATCACTGCGCCCTTAATCGAAAAGCAATCAAAAATTGGGTGTGTTTTACCTGGTTGTGTTTATGCATATGCTAAATTTTAAGTTATTGATAGATGGCATTGTTGTTTTATAATACATTTGTGACTAAACGATTTATTTCGTTCATCTGTTTCACTAAAAAATAAATGTAAAAATTACAGGTCTATTTCCATACAAAAAGGGGTGCATCACAAAGGAAGTATAATAATTACCTTCTACATATAGTCTATTCTAAGTTTTAACAGATTATACAAAAAGAGCAAAAAATACTGTTTTGAAGACAAATTAATGACATGTTTTATAAATGACACAAAGTATACTAATTACTCTTTAAAAAAAAATATGATGACCATATTGATAGTAATAAAGCTTATTTGAAAATCACGCTTCATCCCAAAAAGAGAAATGAAAAAATCCATATTTTACCACACTGAAATAAAAACGCAACATTACAAAAACAACATACGTGAACACCCATATTAAGTAAAGTCTTTCATCTCTTGCAAACATAAACAACATATCTGGGAGATAATAGCCAGCTGGAAAAGATGGTAGACAACATCACCCCAGCAGGTGTTTGCGAAATAGATGTGTTTTCAATTCGGTTTTGAAAGACTCCAGTGTCTGGCTGCTTCTGAGAGCGACTGGAAATGTGTTCCAAATTGACTAACATCTTCGAAATAACATTGAAATTTAGGGTGGTGTATAAAATAGCTTTGATATTTAGGGTTGTGTTTAAAAAGGCTCTGCCATGTAGGGTTCGGTGTTTAAATTAACATTGAAATTTAGGGTTCAGTGTTTAAATATGTTAGGCATTTAGGATTCAGTGTTTAAAATATCTTTGACTTTTAGGGTTATTGTTTAAAAATATTTGACAGTAAGGTTTCAGTGTTTAAAATATCTTTGACATTTAGGTCTCGGTGTTAAAAATATCTTTGACATTTAGGGTTCAGTGTCCAAAACAGCTTCGACATTTAGAGTTCTAGTAAAGTTCCCTTCAGAAGATGAACGTTGTCGATCACAGCCTACTTGATCTACCTAATTTAAAAAAGAGGTTAAGGAGACAACCCCCCCCCCCCCCCGCCTCGCCCCACCCCATACTGCTACAACCACTCTATTACAAAAAATATTTTTAAAAATCGGCGTTCAGTGGAAGTGACGTCATATGACCCCCTGATGCTTGGCGGTAAAAGCCCTTGAAGGTGTCATCGTCGATACTCTCTTGCCAACAATGCCATTAAATACTTCGAGTTCGATACCCTCTTGCCCACAATGCCACTAAATGCGCTGAGTGAACTTGAATCTAGTAAAGACTGCGCCCAAGCCCTGCGAATGAAATCTTAAGGACTGGTGATGCGACAGCTATGTTGTGCGTGAAGATCTACTTTTTGTCTGATTTTCTTGTATACCTTTTGCGTTGTCTTCGCAGAGGAAGGCATTCAGTCGAAACGTCCGTTTTATTGTCTTGTGTTGTTATTCAGTCTGTTACATATCCTGTTCTTAATCTATCACAAGTGAGCTTTACACGATGTTTTCCGGTTAGATTTGTTTGAGATAATATTCTTTCAATTCTTTTTACGTCCCGGAGGGGCTGTCTGTGCTATTGGTTGCTGATTATTTGTACGAAATAAGTCTATTAGACGGATAATTATTTTGAAGGGAAATTTGTTCGAAAAAGAAAGATAAATTTATTAAAATTTTATAATTGAAAACAATAATGTTTTCTCATCCACGCTTCCTCAAAGAAAACATTTTAAAAAGTTCATCAATAATTCCCCTTCGAACTAAATTTCATTTCGAACTAACTTCCGTTCGAACAAATCGTTTTAAATACATTTCCCGATACGGACTTTCTATTGTAAGACTAACACCGGGACAACGTGCCGTTTGACTTGGCGTTGTTGTAAGGTTATTGGAGTTAAGGGAGTCTTGTGTTAAAGTTATAGGTGGTTAGGGTAAACGGAGTCTTTTACTAAAGGTATTGGTGTCTAGGGTTAACTGAGTCTTGTACTAAAGGTATAGGTGGTTAGGGTAAACTGAGTCTTATACTAAAAGTTATAGGTGTCTGGTGTTAACGGAGTCTTATACTACTAAAGTTATTTATAGGTGTCTCGGGTTAACTGAGTCTTGTACTTAAGTTATGGGTGTCTCGGGTTAACGGAGTCTTGTACTTAAGTTATGGGTGTCTCGGGTTAACGAAGTCTTGTACTAAAGTTATAGGTGTCTCGTGTTAACGGAGTCTTATACTACTAAAGTTATTTATAGGTATCTCGGGTTAACTGAGTCTTGTACTAAAGTTATAGGTGTCTCGGGTTAACTGGTCTTGTACTAAAGTTATAGATGTCTCGTGTTACTTGAGTCTTTTACTTAAGTTATGGGTGTCTCGGGTTGACGGAGTCTTGTACTAAAGTTATAGGTGTCTCGGGTTAACTGAGTCTTGTACTAAAGTTATAGATGTCTCGTGTTAACTGAGTCTTTTACTTAAGTTATGGGTGTCTCGGGTTCACGGAGTCTTGTACTAAAGTTATAGGTGTCTCGGGTTAACTGAGTCTTGTACTAAAGTTATAGATGTCTCGTGTTAACTGAGTCTTTTACTTAAGTTATGGGTGTCTCGGGTTAACGGAGTCTTGTACTAAAGTTAATGCTGTCTCAGGTTAACTGAGTCTTCTACATTTTGCCCCAATGATTCGAAAACGATATAGCCAGCAAATGAGTCCCGTCAGAGTGTACTTCGTTTTTGTTATAAAAGAGCAATATAACGTTGTCTTCCTTCCAGGCCCCACCCCTGCTGTTTGTCGGCCATGACGCGGGACGCCCTGACCCCCGTGGCCAAACTGCGGAGTGCCCACAAGAAAGCACGAGAGACGCACTCACTTCCTCTGCTCGAGAGGCCAGCCAGGGAGACGCCGTATCAAGATTTTTCGTAAGTGGTCCAATAAGCCAGGACCCGAGAGAGTCCTTTCTTTAATGGCTGGCGTTGAATCATTTAGTTTACGACAGTACCGGCCTGCCGTACAGAATCAAAGGCAACAAAACATATAGACCAAATAAGATGGTGAAGACTGGGGTCGTGATTAAAGAAAATTAAAGAAAAAATTTAAAACATTCATTTTGTAATGTAAACTGTGTACGGTAGTATGGAGTCTAATGCTTAGTTCACACGATCGAATTCCTCAATTTTTTTATGAACGCTTTATTTGGTGTTTAAAAAATAAAGTGCCTCCAAACAAACAAAAAATGTACGAAAATTTGATCGTGTGAATTGAGCATAAGACTCAAATGTCATCTAAATGTAACAAACCAACGGAGAATCCCAAAGACTCAAATGTCATGTTAATGTAACCAAACCAACGGAGAAGTCCAAAATTAGAACCACTCGATGGGTGGTAATTTCTGCATAACGGCCTTGTAATTGTAAGATATTAGAGAAGGGCTTGAGAATCGTATAGTCTGACTATAGTATAGTCTTCTGTACAATTTTAACCATTAGTATTAACATCAACTGTGAGATTTTTTTTTTTTTAAATGTCTTCTTTCAGCCGTATCAAGAGAATGGTGCTGGCGAAAGCTGACTTGAAAGGGGAGCTAACGACATCCGACCTCTTCGTGGACGCATCTTTCCCGCCAGATCGTTCGTCCTTGACCTATGTGTACAGCGGGGACGACAAGTATGAGCGAACAGTTTTCCGTAGACCGAAGGTATGTTGGATTTTAATGTTGAACGGTATTTCCGAAGTGTATGTTAAAAGGGCGTTTGAAAACTGTTTGCACTGCTGTTTGGAATACCCTCCAGGGTATTTTGAAATGGTATGTTGAAAAGGTATTTTTGAAGGGGAAAAAAATGTTGTAATGATATGTTTACATTGTTAACTAAAAAAATAATTGTAAGCGAATTGTGTAAAGGTAAAGTGTAAGGGAGTTTTGTTCAGCTATGGCACATAAGTCGATGTCTTCTATTCGTTGGCATTCAGTGTGCACTTTTTCTAAGGAGGGAAAATGGTAATAAGTCATGGCCATCTTCATGGGTTTGTTATAATGGTAATATGTAATGGCCATCTTCATGGGTTTGTTCCTAAGAAGAGGAAATGAGTTGTTGATTTGATGGTTATAGCTTCTGCCAATCATTCATTTTAACTTCTGCCAGTTGTTCGTTATAGTTTCTATCAATCTTTTGCTATAGCTTCTGTCAATCGTTTGGTGTGAAATCTATCATTAACTTAGATTTTGTTAAGTCCTAAAAGAAAACTGCGCCCTTTTATCAGTAGCCAATGATTTATAGTACGTGCGGTGTCAATAATAATGATGTAATGTCTTTTGTCAATAAGCTGTAATGGATTAATGTGTTCATTGTGTCAACAATGTGTATTGGATTCTGTTTGGTCAATATGTTTTAATGGATTCATCTTGTCAATAAGGCGGGTCCAGCATGGAAATTCACTTGTATTACTGCGCACCAACTACGGCGTGCCTTGTGTGTTCGCTTAGTAAATGAACGCTATTCGCTCCCGTGAGGCTTGTGACACATCTGTTGTATATGTATTGCTTGTGGTGTGGCGGCTTCCATTTCTGGATGGCGCGCAAAATATAATTCCCGAAAAGGACGCTAAATAAGTATTATGCATCAAAAGAATGTTACTACGAGTTTGAATTATTGTACGACGAGATGTTAGAGAGGACCAGATGATAGGGAGTACCAGATGTTGGAGAGGACCAGATGCTAGAGAGGACGAGACGTTGGAGAGGACCAGATGTTAGAGAAGTCTAGATGTTAGAGAGGACCAGATGTTAGAGAGGACCAGATGTTGGAGAGGACCAGATGTTAGAGAGGACCTGATGTTAGGGAGGATCCTGATTTAACGTTAACATTGCTCTTGAAATAGGGCGTGTGTTCTGTTTATGTTCTGATTGTGTACTGATTGTGTTCTGTTTTTGTTCTGATTGTGTTCTGATTGTGTTCTGATTGTGTTCTGATTGTGTTCTGATTGTGTCCTGATTGTGTTCTGATTGTGTTCTGATTGTGTTCTGATTGTGATCTGTTTGTGTTCTGATTGTGTTCTGATTGTGTCCTGATTGTGTTCTGATTGTGTTCTGTTTGTGTACTGATTGTGTTCTAACTGTGTTCTGATTGTGTTCTGATTGTGTTCTGTTTGTGTTCTGATTGTGTCCTGATTGTGTCCTGATTGTGTTCTGATTGTGTTCTGTTTGTGTACTGATTGTGTTCTGATTGTGTTCTGTTTGTGTTCTGATTGTGTACTGATTGTGTTCTGATTGTGTTCTGTGTGTGTTCTGTTTGTGTTCTGTTTTTCAGATTATGACGTTTACATGTGTAAAAGAACTTGACGAGTGACAATTAAACTTACGAATGCGATAACGTGTTAATTGGGTTCATTCTGTCGATAAGTTGCAATGGGTTCATTCTGTCGATAAGTTGCAATGGGTTCATTCTGTCGATAAGTTGCAATGGGTTCATTCTGTCGATAAGTTGCAATGGGTTCATTCTGTCGATAAGTTGCAATGGGTTCATTCTGTCGATAAGTTGCAATGGGTTCATTCTGTCGATAAGTTGCAATGGGTTCATTCTGTCGATAAGTTGCAATGGGTTCATTCTGTCGATAAGTTGCAATGGATTCATTTTGTCATTTAAGTGTGATAGATTCATTCTGCCAATAACCTGTAATGGATTCAGTTCTTATCAATAGTTTTTATTGGATTCAGTTATGTCAATAATGTGTAATGGGGTTTCATTAGATCAATAATTACGTCATGGGTTAATTCTGTCAATAATTTGTAATGTTGTCTATTTCTACGATAATGTGAAATAGATTTAGTTCTGCCAACAATTTAGCCGCATGCAATGTCACTACAATTTGACAACTTGCTGTACAAAAAGAAATCAAACTATGAGTCAGCGGCGACTCGACAATATGAGTTGAGCTTATTTATCCGAGCATATCAACGACTAAACAATAAGGCAACGGGTCAAGGTCAATACTCAATCATTATTAAGCCCCATCCTATCAGCACGAGAGGCAGACATTTGTCTTCCTTGCCTGCCATCGGAGTCTCGAATCCCAATGCAGTGCCAGGACAACAGACATTTCTCCTTTTTAATTCAACTGAATTATTTTTTTTTCCTCTGGCAACATTTGGAACTTCGTTTGTGTCCAATGAGATTTCATTATTTATTGATTTTATTTTTAAAAAAAGGACTTTTGTCGTAAATACGTGAACAGAGCCACGGTGAATTCTCGAATGTTTTGATTCTGATCTTTCGATAACATCAACAATGTAGATGCTATGTTGTGTTCAAATTTTAAAAATAAACTATTAACTTTGTTTTCAGGTCATACAAATTAATTTAATTTTATTTTTATGGTTTTTTTTTTGTTTGTTTTGTTAAAGAAATGGTGCAGGGTGTTGAAAGTTGATCCTTTCCCTCCATATCTTCCTCCTGAAATCCCTCCATAACTCTCTGCTTAACTCCCTCAACTCCTTCCTTCAGTCCCTCGTTTAACTCCCTCCTTAAATCCATCATTAACTCCCTCCATAACTCCCTCCTTAAGTCCCTCATTAACTCCCTCCTTAACCCCCCTCCTTAACGCCTGCCTTAAAATCCCTCCATAACTCCCTCCGTAATTCCCTCCTTAACTCCCCGCTTACCCCACTCCTCAACAACCCCCCTACTCCCTTCTGAACTCTTACCCCCACTCACTCCCAACTCTTTCCCCAATTTTTTCCTAATATTTTTGTCTGTCAGATTCTGCAAACCAGTTGATGTCTTTTATTGACATCCAGTGAGCTCAACCCCCCCCCTCCCACTCACGTACACCCCCCACACCTACCCCATGATAACAAATCTATAAATAGATTCCGTGTCCATAAATATCCTTCGTACAGCCACCACTCGACTCCTGCCGCCCACAGTACAGCCAACACTTGACTCCTGACGCCTACAGTACAGCCAACTCTTGACTCCTGACGCCTACAGTACAGCCAACACTTGACTCCTGACGACTGCAGTACAGCCTACACTTGACTCCTGACACCTACAGTACAGCCAACTCTTGACTCCTGACGACTACAGTACAGCCAACTCTTGACGCCTACAGTACAGCCAATACTTGACTCCTGACACCTACAGTACAACCAACACTTGACTCTAGACGTCTACAGTACAGCCAACATTTGACTCCTGACGCCCACAGTAAAGCCAACACATGACTCTAGACGCCTACTGTACAGCCAAAACTTGACTCCTGACGCCTACAGTACAGCCAACACTTGACTCCTGGCGCTCACAGTTCAAGCAGCACTTGACTCCTGACACCTACAGTACAGCCAACACATGACTCCTGACGACTGCAGTACAGCCTACACTTGACTCCTGACGACTGCAGTACAGCCAACTCTTGACTCCTGACGACTGCAGTACAGCCTACACTTGACTCCTGACGACTGCAGTACAGCCAACTCTTGACTCCTGACGCCTACAGTACAGCCAACTCTTGACTCCTGACGACTTCCCCCCCGACCCCACCCCCCCCCCACCTGACGCGTGTTTCCTGTCTAACTCTGACTTTGTTCCCGTCCCTCCTACAGGAGATCAGAGAGGATCCCAAACTGACGGGACTCGGGGGTATCTGCGACGAGCCATTTCCCTGGCAACTGTGGAAGCAGCGTGGCTGGTTCCACGCCGCCCTGGTGGTGGTGTCTCTGAGCGTGCGTGCCTTGGAGCGGCTGATTCCTGGCTTTAGGAACAATGAACAAAACTTTGATGCCGACTACATTGGTACGTGCTTTATTTTAAAGAAGGAAACAACAACAAAAAAAAAGATTTATTGATCCGACTTTGTCAACCAGACAAATTATCTTCTTAATTTGATGGAGAATTTTTTTTACTCTTATTTGATTATTTTGTCTCCGATAAAAAGAAGAGCTCTGAATGTTTTGTTTGAGTTAATTGTTCGTTAATTTACGTTTAGACAACAACGAGTTCAAGGTCAAATGAAGATTTGGTTTAAAATACCAAATTTGACCCCCACCCCCCTTTTTTCTTCACTTTTTAGGGTTTAAAAATATTTTTTACAGTGTCCACTATCAATGTGCCCACTAGACATGTGCCCACTACCCATGAATGGTATTGACAACATTTTCTTAATAAGGCCCTTTCATCAGCTCTGATTTTTCTTTGTGTACACATCTCATGCGGGTGACCTCCATGTCATTTTTGTGTACCAACTGGAAGTGATGTTTGGTACAATACATGACATTTATTCAAGTAGTACCTGAGCGAGTTGAACCCAAACGGTCTCATTAGAGTGGGTTGGCAGTTGACGCGCATCACCTCAATAGTTATTTGACTCCTGACGCCCACAGTACAAGCAACACTTGACTCCTGACGCCCACAGTCGAAGCAACATTTGACTCCTGGCACCCCCAGTACAAGCAACATTTTGACTCCTGACGCCCACCGTACCAGCAACATTTGACTCCTGACGCACATACTACAAGCAACATTTTGACTCCTGACGCCCACCGTACCAGCAAAATTTGACTCCTGACGCACACTACAAGCAACATTCGACTCCAGACCCCCACAGTACAAGCAACACTTGACTCCTGACGCCTACAGTACAGCAAACACTGCGGTCTCAAATAGAACTGATCTATAGAAGATCACGCTTCACCACAACAGTTAGTTGACTCCTGACGCTCACAGTACAAGCAACTCTTGACTCCTGACGCCTAGAGTACAGCAAACACTTGACTCCTGACGCCCACAGTACAGCCAACACTTGACTCCTGACGCCCACAGTACAACCAACACTTGACTCCTGGCGCCCACAGTACAGCCAACACTTGACTCCTGACGCCCACAGTACAGCCAACACTTGATTCCTGACGCCCACAGTACAACCAACTCTTGACTCCTGACGCCTACAGTACAGCCAACTCTTGGCTCCTGACACCTACAGTACAGCCAACACATGACTCCTGACGCCTACAGTACAGCCAACTCTTGACTCCTGACGCCTACAGTACAGCCAACTCTTGACTCCTGACACCTACAGTACAGCCAACCCTTGACTCCTGACACCAACAGTACAGCCAACTCTTGACTCCTGAACACTACAGTACAGCCAACTCTTGACTCCTGACGCCTACAGTACAGCCAACTCTTGACTCCTGACGACTGCAGTACAGCCTACACTTGACTCCTGACGACTGCAGTACAGCCAACTCTTGACTCCTGACGCCTACAGTACAAGCAACTCTACGGCCTCAGATTAAACAGATCTAGATTACGATCATTTCAATTTTGACTGCAGTAAACCAAGTAAAATTTGTGTTTAGAAATACGAAGTCGAAGAAAAAACAAAATTCTTGGCTCGGCCATTTTATTATGTAATTTCTTTTTAAAAAGAAATTTAAAAAAAAAAAAAAAAAATTTAATGAACATGTTTGAGTATTTGCAACGTGTAAAGGTCATCATAGCTATTATAAAGTCTCAGCATTCGAAATACTAGGTCGCATGGAACGAAGAAAACAAAATTGATTTTTTAACAAATGATAATATCTTTTAGCACCGTGCCTCCTTTTCTTCTCTCTTGGTGTTTTGTTTAAATTTAGATGGATCTAATATTAAATGTCTCGGTTCGTGTCTTTCGCAATGAGTGTCGCCAAACATTGCTGTTATACACAAGAGCAGTGTTTCTTTCAGACAATTTCCTGTGGGGCGCATTTCAGACGTTTGGGGGGAAGGAGGAGGAGGGGGGGGCAGTACCAGTGGCCAGAGGCGTAGCCAGTGGGTGGCGGACGGAACAGACGTCCCCCGGGCGCCAGACTATCAGGGGTGCCAAACGGGCTTCGGTGGTATTTAAGGTTTGAAAATAATGCGTTTCAGAGTAAAATGAATCTTGTCCCCCCTTTTGCCAAACACTTGAGCTGCGCCTCTGCCTTTGGCGTAGAAAGGGGGCGAGTGGGGGGTGTTCCACCCAGGTGTCACTTTTTCTTTTTAATTGGAGTGTGGCATTTTCGGACAACTGCAGAGTTTGCATCATGGAAGAGAGAGCGGCAAACATCTTTTGCCACCCATGGCGCCACAAACACAAGCTATGCCACAAGTCAGTCTCTTAGCGATCATTTTCATCAGGGCGTATGGAAGTAATCGAGGGCGCCGATAAATAGTGAGTGGCTGAAAGGGGTGGGTGGAGGGGGTGGTGGAAAGGGATCTGAATCAAGCTATGCCACAAGTCAGTCTCTTAGCGATCATTTTCATCAGGGCGTATGGAAGTAATCGAGGGCGCCGATAAATAGTGAGTGGCTGAAAGGGGTGGGGGGTGGGGGTGGTGGAAAGGGATCTGAAAATTGTCGATTATTTCAAAATCAAGAGGTGCATTTAGGAATATAATTGATTTCTATTAGATTTTTTGATCGGGGGAAAGAAATATGTAAAGGTCTGGGGCAGGCATTATGGCACCCAATGGCAAACATTAACTGAATTCACTCAGGCAGTGGCGTGCCCCAAGGTACTCATTAGACACACGCTTATATTTAACACCATACTATAATATTGATCAACGTGAGGTAAGGGGTGCAGAAATTGAGAGTGCCCATCACAGTTGGGCAAAGTCAAAAAGCAAGGGAGCATTTTGGTGCCTACTTGGATTCTATTTTTATTTTAGACAATTTTGAGGTGGAATTTCAAACTTTCGGGTGGGAAGCGCCAAATGTAGCCTTGTTAATGATCAAAGATATATCTAACTCCAGCGGAACATGAATTTAATCCATTCCATTTGTGTCGCTCTTGAGGGTGTGTTTTTGCCCTAGCTTATTCGCTCCCCTTAAATCTTAAGAGTCCCTAGAAACTTTTTCATCAATTTGAAATACAAGTATGCATTTTGGTACTTACCTGAATTAATGCTGCAACATTCTTAATTAGAAGACAACGGAAGAGATGCCTGCTAAAAAATGTACACGTTTTCCCCGTTGTGGGGCGATTGACGTGCTCCGGGGTGGGGGGGGGGGCCAGTGCCCCCGAGGAGATCAAAATAAATACCGTTCAAGAGAACATGGTTGTATTTTATTGGTGTATCGATGACACAGACATTGACAGACTCTGTCAATAACTTGTCTTTTTATCTCTATGTTTCCACAGCTATGACAAAAAAATAATGGTTTTTATTGATTGACATCAGCATTTTAGTTCTGAGGAATTAACTTTAACAGGAACCGCTGCTTCACGTCAACTTTCGAATGCATAACTTATTTATGTAACATTAAGGAAGAAACATTTCAATTATTCATCAAGTATTCACTTTAAAATTTACAACAAGTGTCCCGCCATAACTCTTTAACACCTTTTATCCCACATGACAATCACGGTGTGTTAAAACTGTTCCCCTTTACTGTTTTGAAAAAACCTCTTTCCCGTATCTTTTCAGGACACCACTAAATCTATAGAGCTGAAATATTGCTCAGAGTCTTGTTACAGACTTGTAACAGTTTGAGCGTTCAAAATTTTGGAAGTTTTTTTTAAATTTCTCAACAGGAACGACATTGGAAATGTTTTTATGGGCGTGGCGCGGAGATTTAAACGTCCCAACAGTCACGTTTTGTTTTTGTTTAAGTGATTGTGATGTGTTTAAAAAGGCGTCTGTGATGGGTTTAAAAAGGCGTCTGTGATGGGTTTAAAAAGGCGTCTGTGATGGGTTTAAAAAGGCGTCTGTGATGTCTGTGATGGGTTTAAAAGGCGACTGCAATGGGTTTAAAAAGGTGACTGTGATGTGTTTAAAAAGTCGTCTGTGATGTCTGTGATGGGTTTAAAAGGCGACTGCAATGGGTTTAAAAAGGTGACTGTGATGTGTTTAAAAAGTCGTCTGTGGTGGGTTTAAAAGGCGACTGCGAACGGTTTAAAAAGGTGACTGTGATGTGTTTAAAAAGGCGACTGTGATGCGTTTAAAAGACAAATAATTCAACGCCATAGGTTATCATGGAAATTATTTCTTCAATTACATTTAATAGAAAGTAAAATAGTAACATTTCAATCTGTTCAACTGTCTACAAGCTTTGTTCTATCAGCTTTGATCTACCAGCTTTGTTCTACAAGCTTTGTTCTATCAGCTTTGATCTACCAGCTTTGATCTACCAGCTTTGTTCTACCAGCTTTGTTCTATCAGCTTTGATCTACCAGCTTTGATCTACCAGCTTTGATCTACCAGCTGTGTTCTATCAGCTTTGATCTACCAGCTTTGTTCTATCATCTTTGATCTACCAGCATTGATCTACCAGCTTTGTTCTACCAGCTTTATTCTATCAGCTTTGATCTACCAGCTTTGTTCTATCAGCTTTGTTCTACAGCTTTGTTCTATCAGCTTTGTTCTACCAGCTTTGTTCTAGCAGCTTTGTTCTATCAGCTTTGTTCTATCAGCTTTGTTCTACCAGCCTTGCTCTACCAGCTTTGTTCTACCAGCTTTGATCTACCAGCTTTGCACTACCAGCTTTGTTCTACCAGCTTCGTTCTACCAGCTTTGTTCTACCAGCTTTGATCTACCAGCTTTGCACTACCAGCTTTGTTCTATCAGCTTTGTTCTGCCAGCTTTGTTCTACCAGCTTCGTTCTACCAGCTTTGTTCTATCAGCTTTGTTCTACTAGCTTCGTTCTACCAACTTTGTTCTACCTGCTTCGTTCTACCAGCTTTGTTCTACCAGCTTTGATCTACCAGCTTTGCCTCCGCCTATCATCCCACTAATAATGGGCTCAATTAGAGTCGATGTACGCATGACAGGGGTGATATACACATGACAGAATTGACACACATGACAGAGTTGATACACATGACAGAGTTGACACCTATGTGACCTCAGCAGACACCTCTTTGTACTCAGAACACACCTCTGTGTACTTAGAAAACTCCTCTGTGTACTTAGCACATACACCTGTGTACTCAGTACACACATCTGTGTTCTTAGAACACGCCTCTGTGTACTTATTACTCAACTCTGTGTACTTAGCACATTCCTATGTGTACTCAGCACACACCTCTGTGTACTCAACAACACCTTCTGCACTCAGCACACTTTTCTGTGTATTTAGAACACACCTCTGTGTACTTTAGCACTCCCCTCTGCGCACTTAGCACATACCACTGTGTACTCAGTACACACCCATGTGTACTCAGCACCTACCTATTTGTACTTAAGACACATCTCTGTGCACTTAACACTCACCTCTTTGTTCTTCCCATAAAATTCAAACATTGTTGAAGTGTACTGGTTTGTAGTGAACGCTTGGCGATGTATGTCTTAAGCTCATTAATTGCCTGCTGTTCCTCTCTATTGCGGTTCTCGTACTTAAAGGTCAAAGGTCAAGCCAGGATCTCTTTTTCACTACACATTTTCTCGTGCATCTTATAGTTCTTATATCTATATTAGCTGTTATTATGTGTATAGCTGCTGTTATTGTAGGTACATGAGCTGTTATTATATGTTTTGTAGCTGTTATTATATGTATAGAGCCTGTTATTACATGTATAGTAGCTGTTATTATTACATGTATAGTATCTGTTATTATTTCTATAGTCGATGTCATTATATGTATAGTAGCTGTTATTATATGTATAGTAGCTGTTATTATATGTATAGTAGCTGTTATTATATGTGTAGTAGCTGTTATTATATGTATAGTCGATGATATTATATGTATAGTAGATGTTAATATATGTATATTAGCTGTTATTATATTATAGTACCTGTTTTTACACGTATTGTAGCTGTTATTATATCTAGAGTCGATGTTATTACATCTGTAGTAACCGTTATTACTGTAACGAGACATCAAATGGCCAGATGATCTTTTCCTAAATCTTTTCAATTCTTCTGACAGTGTCAGTGACGCCACCTTGTTTTGATGTGCCCCACGAAACACAGTGGATAAGAAACTGTACAATTCTCAAAATACCTATACGGGCAATTGATTATTTAAATGTTACATGAGATATGCAACATAATTCTTAAATAGACCTACTATCTCATTGAGTGTACGCGCGATAAAGGGGGGATAAATGCGAACAAAACGCTACACCAGGTTACCAGTGCTGTCATGGGTGTATGTTACTTCTCAGCTACCCGTTGGTGTGCCTCACTGTGGCCCTGTCGTCTTAAATTATGACTGGTTCTCTTAACTGCTGGTGGTCGCAAAGTGTCGGTATCTGTCCACTTTCAACATGGCTCCACGCTTGACTATTCCAGAAACATATTAGAAATCACCTGCACTACATAACACTATACAAGGCCTCTGCTTTCAATTTGATGTGGCTCTTTAATTCTATCACTACATAAGTCTTCTACGAACTCAACCTCCAATACAGCTTCTAACTCCAAACATACTCTTACCTCTACATGATATTCCATGGCATGAACTTTTACAATGTCATAGGCCAAGCACATGAGGCAAGTTTGATGCGAGGACTGCAGCACAGTCATCAGTGAAGTAGCTGAATTTCTAGTGGCCGATATACCTGAGGGCCCCTTCGACGTTTAATCACCATAAAACCTCCCACTATAACACAACACCTCCAACCATAACATCTCCCACCATAACACCTCCCACCATAACACAACACCTCCCACCTTAACACCTCCCACCATAACACAACACCTCCCACCTTAACACCTCCCACCATAACACCTCCCACCATAACACAACACCTCCCACCATAACATAACACTCCCACCATAACACCTCCCACCATAACACCTCCCACCATAACACCTCATACTATAACTTCTCCCAGTGGTGGACATACTCGTAGATTGTAATTAAAGTCTGTTATCTCTCTATAACAAACGCCAGCCCCCCCCCCATCCCCCACATTCACGAGAGTCAGTGACATAGTAAACATGTCTCCGTGAAGCTGCGACCAATGTTCCCTTTAAGATGCGCAACTGCGCGGCCGCGCAGCCATCTCACAGACGCCGCGCAGCAGTTTTGAGTATCCGCGCAGCAAATTTTCATGCAACTGCGTGTTTGTATTTGTGGGATGTAAAATTTTGCACATAAAAAAATCGATCCTACAAAACTCTGCACACAACTGTATGATTTTGCACACGAACCAGCAAACCTTAGAGGGAACATTGGCTGCGACCCGTCTACACCCCTACCCCCTTGCATGTCACCATGCCCTCAGAGAATCACTGTTCATACCGTACCCACCCGTACCCACCCTCCCACGCTCTGTAGTGCTGTTAAGTATTTGATCATGACAGCAACGTTCGCACTGTGACAATGGCGTAGACAAATATCACCAAATGTCACTTTCTATTGTTGCGCTTGTCATGATATTGTAACCCCTCTAGAATGATCCAACCTTCCAAGAGGATTGCAATGTTCACTTGAAATATGGCACTGGTTATTTTCTGCCATATTTTGTGGGAATATGGCATTGTTATTTTCTGCCATGTTTAGTGGAAAGATGGTACTGTTATTGTCTGCCTAGTTTAGTGGAAATATGACGCTGTTATTTTCTGCCATGTTTACTGGGAATATGGTACTGTTATTGTCTGCCTAGTTTAGTGGAAATATTACGCTGTTATTTTCTGCCATGTTTAGTGGGAAGATGGCAATGTTATTTTTTCTTTTATTTAAAATCGTTATTATTTTCCAGAATTTGTTTCTCAACTGATGTCATGACTCGTGTAATAATAAATACATATTAAATCAAAAGTTTTACCTTGGAAAGTAGGTTTTTGCTCTTTTCATGTTTAAATTGTAGACCTATGTATTTTAAATATCTTACCTTCCATTATTGATATGCTACCACTCAAACAGATATCTTACATGCCCTTATTGATATGCTACTAATCAGATATCTTACGTGCCATTATTGATATGCCAATAATCAAACAGGATGCTTCCACTTCCACATGTGGCGGTTTGGAGAGTGGGTGGACATTGTGGTCGACGACAACCTGCCGATGTTGGATGGCTTCCCTTTGTTCTCCAAGCCCCTGGGCAGTGCCGGCGAGATGTGGGGACCGCTGGTGGAGAAGGCCTACGCCAAGTAAGCTTCTGTTTGCTCTTTCAAGCGTCTTACATCTGATGATGGGGTGACCTTTGGGGGGAGGGGTGGGATGGAGGCTGGAAGATCAGTTTGTCACACATACAAACACACTTTCAAACACATAAACAAACACTCACACACACAATGACACACAAACATACACACACACAATGGGCAATTCATTCATCAGTCCGTGAAATGACGGCTAGGCCGTGTAATCGATTACGTGGAGTCGGATTGTTGTTGTCCAACAGAAAACCCATCCCCTTCAGTTGGAATGCGTGTTATATGTTGAAAATAAAAGATTGCGTGAAGTCCGCCATTAGAATTCGATCATTAGAATGCACTAAAACACTATTTTTAAAAAAAATTGGGATGTGCCCTTCCCGTGTCGGGGTCGGGGCAAGGCTGCTATCACACATTTCCTTTAAATTAACCCATTTCTGCCGTGGAAAGAGTAGAAAGGATGGTTAAGAAAGTGCAACATGCTGTAAGCCATGCCTCCTCCCCCCACCCCCCCCCCCCCTCCTCCACATGTCAATCTGCCCTTCATGGCCGCCAAGAAGCCAACCAGCCTCTGATTGGAAGCCTGAAGATCGCCGAGACCAGAGCGACGCAAAGCGTGTGTTGAACAAAAAAAAAAAAGAAAAGGCAAAGAAGGAGATCTGTCTGTGGCTTGTCATGCTGCACATTGGACTGGGGTTAAAATTGAAAGTTATTGACAGGAATCGTTTGGTTCAGCGATGCGTTCAAATATGAGGGGTTGAAGTGTGTGTGTGTGTGTGGGGGGGGGGTGAAATGTGCAGGGTTAAGGTGGGGTGATGAGGGAGGTGAAGGAGGAGACTTTTTTTTAAAAAATTGCTTTTTGTTTTTTAAAATAAAAATGGGTTTTCAAGCAACCAAGAAACTCTAGTTTCCTACACTCATTTCATCCATTATTATGGCACAGTAGTTAGCAGTGGTGGGGAGCAGATTACAGATTTGAATTTTTGCAGGCATTTTTTTTTTTTTACAGTGTGCAAAGATGTTTCTATATCTTAGTATATTGTATCATCAGAACTGTTAAATGTTAGCTATCTCAGTGAACAGCCAATAACCCTTAACTTTAAAAAAAAAATCTGTACTACTATTATATCAAAGTCTAATTCACATCTTCCCCATGGGGGGTTGGGGGGGGGGGTAATTGCATTGTAAAGATCTACGGCATTTTGTACATGTGTGTTTATTCTATGAAAATTTGTATCATCAGAACTGTTAAATGTTAGCTATCTCAGTGAACAGCCAATAACCCTTAACTTTAAAAAAAAATCTCTACTACTATTATATCAAAGTCTAATTCACATCTTCCCCATGGGGGGTTGGGGGGGGGGTAATTGCATTGTCAAGATCTACGGCATTTTGTCAATGTGTGTTTATTCTATGAAAAATTTATGTGATACATTTTTAGATATAGTATTTTAACCTCTTATGCATTGCATTTCTTGTGGATCATCCTCATCTAAATATCTTTGCTTAGCGTGATTTTGATCCATTTTATGTTACCAGACGATTATTTTTTACCAGGATTCTACTGAATCCATTTTGCGGGCACACGATTAAAAAAAAAAAATTATGAAAAGCACAATGTAAACGCCACGTCTCACTCATTGACCTCTGTGTCATCCCCAATGTAGATGCAAGCGGACGTTCCAGGCCATCGAGTACGGCTTCACGCTGGACGTGCTGACGGATCTGACCGGAGCTGTGTGCGAGTTCTTCATCCCAGACATTGACCCGCCGTCCAACCTGTTCCACATCCTCTACAAATCCGCGACGTGCAGGTCGCTGATGGCGTGCTGGAGGAACAACAAGAGACTCACGCCTGCCGGGTTCAACTGGACAGACGACAGTGGGGTAAGGTACAAGAGACTCGCGCCTGCCGGGTTCAACTGGACAGACGACAGTGGGGTAAGGTACAAGAGACTCGCGCCTGCCGGGTTTAACTGGACAGACGACAGTGGTGTAAAATTATAATGGTTCTAGAGCCACTGGCGTCTTCTGGGATCAGCTCTGCTTCAGTGAATGGAGTACATCCCATTTTGAAAACAAAAACACATGATTTTCGTTAGTGACACAATAGATCGGCTTGGTTTTTGTTCCTGTTTACGCCAGTTGTTTGTCCACACGTAATCATCGACAATGCCGTGGATTTCCGGGCCATTTAAACTACAGAAATCAAACGTATAATAAAATGTCTGTAAAAAGTCTGAGGTCCATTACTAAATGGTTAAATGGATCATATTAACAGTCGATTCTAGGGAACATCCTTTGTGACAAAAGAAAAAGTATGTGCAATTAATATTGTTCAAGTTTTGGTCTATAGGGCTTGTCATTTAATGGCGGAAATCTATTAATAGAACTGATGTCACCATTACTGATCATCCGGGTACTCAGCGCGGACAAAATGTCAACACTGTACAGTATTACTATGCTAGCGGAGTGTCCCTGAAACTTGTTTAGAACTCTATTTTACGAAATACTTTACACATTTTTTTTACTTCTTTTTTCTGAAATGGGACTCCATTGCGCGTACGACCAGATGTAACAGTAACTCTAGATACAAAGATCGTCCGAACGATATGCTGAAACACACTATAAGCTGCCATGTTTTAAGCAATATTTGTCCGCCGACCTCCTAAAAATAGTACGCTATGACGTTTTCCGGTCTGAGAAATGACAAAGCCTATTGCAGTAGCTTGACCCTTGAAAACACATTCCTAGTTTCATTGTTTCGTTGCGGTTTCTTAACCCTCCTGTTGGTTTGTTCTACGCCCTGTCTGAGCTCTTCATTCTCCTGTTAGTGTGATTTATCTATATCCAATCTGAAAACGTGTTCAAAGTGTTCTTCCCCCAGCTCTTGCTTTGCTCTTTAACGTAATGTTTCATCAAGCAGCTCTCTGTTAACTCAGTGAGACTATAGAGACAATAGAGACCAGACAAACCGGAACGAACCACTGAAGAAACAGAAGTTGGTGTTTAATTGTAGGCTTCTCTGTTTAACAAAAAAAAATTGGGGACGGCACGCAATCAAGAGTTTACAATCATGACATAACAATCATGAGTTTACATTCATGACTTTACAATCATGACTTCACAATCATGAGTTTACAATTGTGACTTTACAATCATGACTTTAAAATCTTGAGTCTACAATCATTTTACGTTTCATTTTAGAAGAAATCAGAAATCTCCCTTCCTTCTTCCCCCCCCCCCGACACCCCCACCCCCCCCCAAAAAAAAAAAAAAACACACAAAAAAACCAACGGAGAATGGCTTCATTACCCAGCACAGATCTTCATTTTATTTGTGAGAAATTGTGGCAAAAATAGAAACATGAAACATTGAGGAATTATATTTTTGAAATTTGTGAGGATGGCTGTAATATAAATATAGATAGAGACCACTGTTGGGTCACATAACGGGAATGGCTGTAATATAAATATAGATAGAGACCACTGTTGGGTCACATAACGGGAAAGGCTGTAATATAAATATAGATAGAGACCACTGTTGGGTCACATAACGGGAAAGGCTGTATTATAAATATAGATAGAGACCACTGTTGGGTCACATAACGGGAAAGGCTGTAATATAAATATAGATAGAGACCACTGTTGGGTCACATAACGGGAAAGGCTGTAATATAAATATAGATAGAGACCACTGTTGGGTCACATAACGGGAAAGGCTGTATTATAAATATAGATAGAGACCACTGTTGGGTCACATAACGGGAAAGGCTGTATTATAAATATAGATAGAGACCACTGTTGGGTCACATAACGGGAAAGGATGTAATATAAATATAGATAGAGACCACTGTTGGGTCAAATAACGGGAAAGGCTGTATTATAAATATAGATAGAGACCACTGTTGGGTCACATAACGGGAAAGGCTGTAATATAAATATAGATAGAGACCACTGTTGGGTCACAAAACGGGAAAGGCTGTAATATAAATATAGATAGAGACCACTGTTGGGTCACATAACGGGAAAGGCTGTAATATAAATATAGATAGAGACAACTGTTGGGCCACATAACGGGAAAGGCTGTATTATAAATATAGATAGAGACCACTGTTGGGTCACATAACGGGAAAGGCTGTAATATAAATATAGATAGAGACCACTGTTGGGTCACATAACGGGAAAGGCTGTATTATAAATATAGATAGAGACCACTGTTGGGTCACATAACGGGAAAGGCTGTAATATAAATATAGATAGAACCCACAGCAAGGTCTCATAGCCGACGATTTTAATCAACTGAATTCTAACAAGAATTTTTCCCCAGATTTAATTCTCCCCCCAGCCCTCCACCTCAACCCCCCCCCCCACACACACTCTCCCTATAAAAGCTGTTGAACACTGACCATTAAAAGTAATTATGTCAAAGATTTTATCATTGAATATCTTAAATATCCTTCACAATACGAGAAACAGAACGACCACTTCGATAAATGCTCAAACATAAAAAATGTAAAAAAATCACGCTTCATTTTGAAAGGGCAATTGGGATGGGAGAGTACTCAGGAAATATCAGAGCAATTAAGCTCTACAAATTGCTTTAACAAGTATTTCTCCAGGCACGGCGTGACCCAATTTCTAAAGCCCAGAGTTTTTTTTAACATAGAAATGTGGTCTCTCTCTCTCTCTCTCTCTCTCTCTCTCTCTCTCTGTCTGTCTGTCTCTCTCTCTCTCTCTCGCTCTCTCTGTCTCTCTGTCTGTCTGTCTCTCTCTCTCGCTCTCTCTCTCGCTCTCTCTCTCTCTCTCGCTCTCCTTCGTTCTCTCTGATTCCCTCGTTCTTTCTCGTTCTCGCTTTGTGTTTCTTTCTCTGACCGTCTCTCTTTCTTTATCTCTCTTTCTCTTATCTCCATCTGTTACTTTGTGGTTTTTTTTCCTCCTCTATGTCCTCTTTTTTTTTTAACTATCTGCCTCTCTTTCTTCCTCTCCCTCTCCCTCTCTCTCTCTCTTTATGTAAATTGCCTCGCCCTCTCGTCCCTTATTTCTCTCTCTTTCCATCTCTCTCTCTCTTTCTCTCCCAGTCTCTGTGTTTTCCCTCCATTGTATCCTTACATTGTTCACTTCTCCTCAGAGCTCGGACAAAGAACGCTACCTCCACATTATTACAGCCGTCACAAAGGTAAGCTACCCTGGCTCTAATCGATTTGTGTCCCTTCAAGTAAGAAGGAATTATTCATTAGTGACCCATTCCATTGTAAACTTATGCAATGGAAAGGGTGAGGCCAGCGCTCTGTCTAGCACTGGACGGCACGATTTCTAAGGACATGCCCATGCCGAGGTATTGAAATATTTTGATGAATCAATGGGTTACCGCCATTCGGAAATGTTTCTGGATAATAATTGATTAATAAAAAATTACTTTGTTTACACAAACACGTCCATAAAAATCTGGCGCGCGAGAGTTAAAGAATCCCTGAGCTTCAAAGGGTTAATTATTAACTCATCTCCCTCGTTACTTGGGGGGTGGTCAATGAAAGTCAGAACGAGGCAGTGACCTGGCTTCTCGTCACGTGTTGTTTTAAAGTTTGCCAGTGAAACAGAAGACCAGGCACAGGTGCGGGGAATGACCGTAACCACGACAACAGTGTAAACAGTTGTTGGTAAAGGTCATGACCCTCGTTGCCCTCCCCATCACGCGATTGGTGGATGAAGTTGTCAAAGTGACCCCAAGATAACACACTGAGATTCAAGGACGTCACGTTAAGTGATCGTCTTTTTAAAAAAAAAAAAAAAATAAATAAATGTCAAAATCATTTCATACATTTTTTTTAAAGCCATAAAAGATAGCGATTCTCAAACGCTGGTACACGTGAAGGCCCCTTTGGAAGTACACAGAGTCCAATTCACCAAAATAGGAAAATGGTGGTGCATGAATTTATTGTTGATTATTTAAGTGGTGCAACGAACAAAAGTCTGAGAATCCATCTCATCTATACACCTCTTACTTCACTGAATCTTGCATTCAGTCTGCGTATGAATATTTTTTTTCCCCTTAGGTCTAATTCAGTCAAAGCGCTTGCACGTCACCTTCATACCGAACGTCATGATGTTGATCGTTGATATGTATTGATTATAAAATTATTTATCTTGCAATGTGTCTATTTATTGATTGATCTATAGTGTGTGCTTTAAAAAAAAATAATTAATAAAACGGATTCCTTGTAATGTAATTGCTCCTCAATAAAATAGTTTTAAATCTTTCCATAACGATTTCGATTTTTTTTTTTTCGTGTGTTTCTTTCTGGCTGGGTGGCAAAATCTTCGGATGGCTCATTGACCCACCTCCCGTCAACCTATCGAACTGAAACGAGGCGCGTGGACTCGTTGTCGACAACAACACACTCTTTCCAGATTTTCAGCCCCACCCCCGACCCCCCAAAATCAGGTGTTTTTTTTCCCTGCCCTTTCAAGTGGAATATGCAGAACATATGGTGACACCGATTTCACGATTCAAGGTGCCTTGATAACTGCGCTACGTGAGATTCTCTTTTTTTTTTAAATATCGTAAGTGCGTTTGGTGCGTGATCGTTTCTTTTCGGGTTTTTGTTTTTTCTGAAATAGTCGGTGCAGTAAATCTGCGGTGTAACAGCGGGGGGTGGGGGGGGGGGGGGGGGGGTCATTAGAATATTAATATGAAAATAAAATAATTAAATAATTTAAAAAATGCATATAAAGGATTAAAACTTTTTATTTTTAGGGTTTGTTTATTTGTTGGGGTACCTCTCTCCAATATTTCATTTTGTTCTCTAAAGTTGAGAAAATATTTCATTTGAATTGAAATTTCCCCAAAAAGGGCGTCTGTGAATATTTAAACACCGTCTGTTGGTCATAAACATCCAGTTTGCCATAATCTCTAAACAGGGGAGTAAGGCGTCTGAGGGCGGAGAGACCTGGGTTTTAAAGATTTAGAAAAAAAAAAATCTTAGGTACTTCTTTCACGTTACTTGTTAAGGGAAATTGTATTAAAGACAACAATGATATGAAAACTTCTAATCAAATAGTTATTATTTATTAATGAATAGTTCTTAGAGGCACCAGTTTGCAATCTGCGCCAAACTCGGGCTTACAAGGTCGTTCAGGTCATCTGAGCCAGGACATGGGATCAGGACCAGATCGCACTTTGTTGACCTCGGCGGCTTAATTTCGGTCTCCGTTGACGCAAACGAGTGCATTCATTTTTGTGTGTTAAACTTTCAGTGTTAAACTTGGAGTGTTAACCGATGAAACGAGTTCAAAAAATAGTTCAAAATATTTACAACATATCCATCCGCTGCTCGTTAAAATTGACACTATTGTTCAGGTTTACGTTGACAAGGAACTTTTTTTTCTTTTTTGAAAAATTTGTAGCGCAGCAATTTAATATATTTAATATATTTAATATATAAACACGATATTATGTTGTATAGAGAAGTATCTCACATGGTGAAGTACTTTATCTATAAATATAGGAGGATGAGGATGGTGCTTTATTTATAAACAAATGGCGATATTACTTTTTAACTTTCGATAGTACGAAATAAATATCAATTATTACTGGAAATGGTGTCAGAAAAAGGCGCTCTCTTTATGTCGTGTTGCAATGATTATTACTAGTGTTAACTGTATTCAAGGTCCTTTGACCATATGTTTTGAGACCCATGTTTATTTCAATATCCACAATGCCTTAATGCATTGCTCGGTCAAAATACGTGTCAACATCGCAATGAATCGTAATCTTTCAAATTTTTGTATCTGGATTAGTGTCTATTGATTAAAATATTTGTTTGGCGTGTGTTTTTTTCCCCTCAACCGTTTTCAGCCCCGGAGATGCTAAAAGTGTTTTATTGATTCTTTTCTGCCCCCTTTAGTTCTCTATGAACGGAGGCCGCATGGAACAGATGATTAGGTTAAAATGCCCGTATTCTTCAGAGCCAAAATGGCATGGGCGTTTCTCGGACGGGTGAGTACAATGTTGATGTGTGTCATATAACTAAGATCAATAGTCAAGGTTTCATTTCTGCACCCCAACCCTCGCCCCCACAACACTCCCCTCCAACTCTAACTCCTCCCACCCCAATTCCCCCAACCTAAGTCCCCCACCCTAACTCCCCCACCCCAACTCCCCAACCCCAATTCCTGCCACCCTAACTCCCCAACTCAGTTTCCCCCCTCAACTACAAAACAACCACGTACAAAAAAAACTCATCTATTTTTAGAAGGTTCGCGTGTTGTTGATGATTTCTGTGACCTGATTATGATATCTGAACAATCTTGTGTCCCGGTTTGACAGAGTCCCCAGGGGCGTTTATGTATGGGAAGGATCAACACTACTAATCACATTTCAGCTCGATACTGCTTATTGTTTTACAAACGATACTCGCGCAGAACTTTCCGATCTATGACAAGCTATACAATTTTAGACATAAAATAGCATATGGTTTTCCTCTACTGAATTTACATTATAAAACTCTACAAAGTGGCACTTGATAAGCTTTCATTGTGCATCAATAAACCAGACCCCATCCACAGCGTGACGTAATCAACTGATCTAATATGTTAATCTGTTCCAAGGAAAGTTATTAAAAGATGCACTCCTCTGTGTCGGTAAGCAGTTGATAGTGTCTCGTCCAATTTTCCACCACATGCAGTGACAGGGAATAACAAAACATTATGACATGGGGTATACGTTGTTCACACATGGGACACATTGCGAACTACACACGGGACAAATTCGAGCAACACACGGGATCAATGCAAGCCACACAGTGGGGCACATTCAAACGAAACACGGGGCACATTTGAGCCACACCAGCGGCACATGTACAAAACAAACTGCGCACATTGCGAGCCACACACGGGGCTCCGATGGGGCACACACGGGCAGTGTGACGTATACGTCTGACAACCACGTTTTTAGATTTAAAGCCGAGTAGTCCACTTCTGTTACGTCAGTGAGAATTGCAAATACAATAGGACTAAAATCTGACCATCTTTTCCCAGAGACACGTCATCCTGGCAGAATGTCAACTCCGAGTTCATGGCCCGTCTTCAGCCTCACTCCAAGAAGGACGTGGACGAGTACTGGATGACCTACGGCGACTTCCGGTGCAACTTCGGGGGACTCTTCGTCATCAGCTCGCCGGAGCCGTTCCACCTGGACGGTTTCAACATCCAGAGAACGTACCGGACGTACAGCGACGCCGGCTTGCATCACGCTGAGCCGTGGTGCGAGACCGGCTACAGGAGCAGGGCTCGGCGCTTCACGTCGCCCAACAACAGCTTCGTCCGAGACATGGTCAAGAGGCGCACCAACAGCGACTCCGAGTGCCACTCCCACGTGTATGGGGATCCCGTCAGCGCCCCGTGCTCGCCGTCCAGAACTGAAACCAGGAGAGGGGAGCACGCGGACGCCGCCATGAGGAGACGGTTGTTCGTGGCCAAGGAGCGGGACAGCAGGGCGCAGTGCTCGGTGGAGGGGCGGCCGTGCGGCTCTCCCAGGCACCAGCTCGCCTCTCAGCAACTCGGCCAGGACCAGCAAAGCCACATCGACGACAGCAGCACATCAAACAAACATTTCTCCACTTCCTGTTTACCGAGTCCACGGCGGCGGAAATCCACCGGGGAAAAACTGAAAGATTCACCGCGGGGCGCTGACGGGAGCCCGACGGCGAAAGGTTCTCATGCCCTGAAAAAGACACCGAAAACAAACTTCATGAAGAAGCACAGCCTGGACACGACCCTCCACGGACTTTCATTATCGTCATCGCATCAGTACGCCAGCACGGACATCGGAGCCGCGTCCGTCTCGTCCTCAGACCAAGATTCGTCTGTCTGGGCGTCGCCCGTTTCACCCGAAGCCAGCGTCTCCGGCGTCTCATCACCGTGCTCGTCTCTCGCCAACACGCCCGAGGACAGCCAGACATCTGCTGCCATGTTCACCGTGTGCCCCGCCACGCCGGCCAGTCAAAGCATCACCGACAGCTGTCACACGCTGACCAACGTGGCGCTACGGATGGCCGCCGAGGACGGCCGACGTCCGCGCAGCGCCCCCAATCCGTCGGGCATCACCAGGGAGTTACTGTCTGGTTCCCTGAGTTCCTTGACCCAAAGTTCTTTCCTGGCAACTAGAGGGGACTTTTTCCGGTCAGATGGGAAATGGAAAGTCATCTTGGAACATCGTGATGTCTGGAAAAGTAAGGTTTTATCTTTGAAAGTATCTTTCTATGGGTTTTATTTCATTATTCACTGTACTTCAAAAGTAATTTTTGCAAAGTAGTACAAAGTGTTGTTTTGTTTTGTTTGTTTGTTTATTTGTTTGTTTATTTGTTTGTGTATTTGTTTGTTTATTTGTTTGTTTATTTGTTTGTGTATTTGTTTGTTTATTTGTTTGTGTATTTGTTTGTTTATTTGTTTGTGTATTTGTTTGTGTATTTGTTTGTTTATTTGTTTGTTTATTTGTTTGTGTATTTGTTTGTTTATTTGTTTGTGTATTTGTTTGTTTATTTGTTTGTGTATTTGTTTGTTTATTTGTTTGTGTATTTGTTTGTGTATTTGTTTGTTTATTTGTTTGTTTATTTGTTTGTGTATTTGTTGTTTGGTGGTTTGTTTGTTTTTTTGGTTGGGGGTTTGTTGGTATTTTTTAAAACATTTTTATATCCACGTTTTCCCATTTAAAAGTTTTTTTATTAGAGAAAAAGACATTGACATGCTTTCAAATATGTGTTGTTGATGAACAGATTTTGTAGAGAAACAATAAGAGGGGAGGGGAATAAAGACGTGATGATTGATGTGTCTATCTCTAATGCCACTGTTACTCTTTTGAATTGTTCATCTCTGTGACAGTAACTATTGCTCATCTATGCCCCTGCTTTGTACTGCTCTCGCATTCAGTGCCTTCTATCACCCGTCCAACATTTCACTGTTCCGTTAACGCTGTTCTCAGGAGACACGCCCAGCGCCGACAGGACACGGCTTGACATCCACTCCAAGACCCACAGAGTTTACTTCCTGGTCACACGCCATGAACTCAAGGACCCTCTGGTGCCGCCCACACTCCAGGACAAGCGTCACGTGCTCATCTCTCTGATACAGGACTACAGGCACGGGCCGTGCACGGCCAACTCCTTGCTGGTGCCCATTGGTTTTTGTCTGTACCGGGTCAGTTGCGTGACCTACATTTTAGATTAGGTGCCTTACATTTTAGATTAGGTGCCCTACATTTTAGATTAGGTGCCCTACATTTTAGATTATGTGCCATGCGGTTTAGATTAGGAGCCCTGCATTTTAGATTAGGTGCCCTACATTTTAGATTTGGTGCCCTACATTTTAGATTAGGTGCCATGCGGTTTAGATTAGGAGCCCTGCATTTTAGATTAGGTGCCCTACATTTTAGATTAGGTGCCCTACATTTTAGATTAGGTGCCATGCGGTTTAGATTAGGAGCCCTGCATTTTAAATTAGGTGCCATGCATTTTAGATTAGGAGCCCTGCATTTTAGACTAGGTGCCATGCGTTTTAGATTAGGAGCCCTACATTTTAGATTAGGAGCCCTACATTTTAGATTAGGTGCAATACATTTTAGATTTGGTGCTCTACATTTTAGATTAGTTGACCTATATTTTAGATTAAGTGCCCTACATTTTTGATTAGGTAACTAAATTTTTAAATTAGGTGACCTACATTTTAGATTGTTTGCTCTACATTTTAGAATAAGTGATCTACATTGTAGATTAGGTGCCCTACATTTTAGATAAGGTGCCCTACATTTTAGATTAAATGGCATACATTTTATGTAAGGTGTCCTACATTACATATTTGGTGCTCTATATTTTAGATTAGGTGCTCTACATTTCAGATTAGGCGCCCTTGATTTTAGTTCAGTTTTCCACATTTTAGGTTAGGTGCTCTTCATTTTAGATTAGGCGCTCTTTTTTTTAGATTGGATGCCCTACATTTTAGATTTGGTGCCCTACATTTTACATTGTATTTCTCGGATGTCATATTTACTGCCCCGCCCCAAACACCCCTTCCTTCCCCGGTGTCATGTTATTAGAGCAGTTCTCGTTTGGGTCACTTAAGCCTAGTGGCCTTGTTACAGAATTATTGTACGGTTTTGATTTCTTTAAATTATGTCAATCCGTCAGCTTCCTATATCACTGTTATATTATCACTTATCACGGTTAAATCATCACTGTTATATCATCATTGCAATATCATCACTGCGACATCATCTTTGCTATATCATCATTGCAATATCATCATTATAATGTAATAACATCATTGTAATATCATCTCTGTTATAGCATAACTGTTAAATACTCCTGGTAATAACATCTCTGTTAAATCATCACTGTTATATCATCACTGGGAAGGAGTGGTATTTGTGTTTTCAGGTGAATTTTTCCCGTTTATGAGGTAGATCCCATATACTTACATAGAGTCAAACTCAGACGGGCATACATTTTTAAATACTATCAGGACCAGTTACCAAAGACACTTTCAGGCAGTCACAGGCGCACCGAGACACACAGAGGAAACCACACAGACGTATTGTGACACAGACACACATGCAACCACGCAGACGTACAGTGAGACAAACACACATGCAACCACACAGATGTACACTGACACAAACACACGAGCAACCACACAGATGTACACTGAAACAAACACACCAGCAACCACACAGATGTACACTGACACAAACACACGAGCAACCACACAGATGTACACTGACACAAACACACGAGCAACCACACAGATGTACACTGACACAAACACACGAGCAACCACACAGATGTACACTGACACAAACACACCAGCAACCACACAGAAGCACCTATACACAAGGAAAATATTATTTTTTTATATATATATTTCGGATTCCGAAGATTGTCTGAGTTTCAATTCGACTTATTAACCAGATTTGGTCCACATTTTGTCCAGTAGCATACAATTGTACTCTCTCCGTTCCCAGACCAAACACTCTGACCGAGATGAAAAACGTCACATCTCTAAGCTTGAGCTTATTGGTCAAGTGGACGGTGAACCGGACAGGAGAGAGGTCACCGCTAGGTTTGACCTTGTTCCTGGGGGTTACTTCCTTGTGCCCTACTACCAGGCTGAACAGCATCAGGGCGAGTTCCTGCTGCGCGTCCTTTCCGAATCAGACTTGGGCCAAGTCAAAGCTGGCTGGTAATTTTTTTACTTACATCAGTTAGAATCCGCCAAAATAAAAACTTTCTAAACCAGGGGTCTCAAACTCAAATCATCCGGGGGCCTCATAAAATGCTATCAAATAGAAACTTTTATCCCGATTTTAAAACGGTTTTTGTCCATTATAATGAACGTCCAAATCTGTACCAACATAATAAACTCAGAATGAGACTATTCGGTGAGATTCGACTGAAACCGTCGCGGATGGTCACATTATAGGTAAGAGAATGGGGAAAACGCGCGGGCCGCATTAACACTTAACTTTGCTGTCATGTATCGGGCCGCAAAATATCGCCTTGCGGGCCGCAAAGGGCCCGCGCGCAACGTGTTTGAGATCCCTGGTCTAGACCAATGGCATCACGAGATTGGATAAGCCATACATCACGAGTTGCTACATCACCCAAAAAATGTGTTGGTACTAGAAACAAGCCATTTTTTTATGACAATTTAAAATAGGAAGATTCCATTTATTGAATTTAAAAGTTCTAAATAGAGGATCTTTGACTCCTTCTTGAAAAAAAAAAGTATTCTAGAAAAGCAAGGGACATAATTTAAATATCTTTAAAACAAATTGAATCATAACCAAAACTCTTCCCCGTGGATTTTCTTGTTTATAATTGCTTACTTTGATAGGACAACAGATACTGACAGTTAGTGACAACGGACAAGATGTCACACACAAAAAAAAACAAATAAATAAACATCGTATAACGTTTCTTTTTTCAAACACCTTTTTTTTCTTCAACACTACAATACTAAACTGTTAAAAAAATATTTTTCCTCAGCAAAATCTCGTGAGTTTTCATCACTTGGGACTTCATCGTCCAGTACAGACAATGTTGGTCATCGGGGTCAAGGACGTTGGCTGGTGGGTCTAGTCCCAAGTCGCTGACCTGTGGTGCAGTGTTTTCTTTTAAAGGATACTTAAAATGGAGCTCTTCATTACCATTGCATGACTGTGCAGAAGCTAAGAATACCAAAGCCATAATTTGTTTATGGATTGAAGTTATTCAAAACATGTGACTTTCTGTGGATCAGAGGCAGGGCCCGCTACGTTTTACTCTACAGTAACAAACACGTGACAGAAAATTACGCTTAGTCTGATCAAATTATCGCCTGTCAATTCAGTTTCGTCGGATTATCGTTAATCGGATTAGGCCGGGGGAGTTCCAGTGGATGGAGTTTGCCCAATGGTGGTAATGACGTCGGGAAATGTCGCCGCCAATCCGGGCATTACATACACCTGCAACAAAATAAACAGCTCGCGGTTGCCATGACTATCTCCAATACATACATGTATTCAACAAATACAAAGGAGGATGAGAGCAAATTCCATATTTTTATTTAAGGTCGCTGTTTTATTTTTATTGTTTTATCATGAACAAGATTTCAAGTTCAAAGGTCAATTAAAATTTATGATCGGCAGTCAGATTATGTTAATAATCTACAATGTGTGGAATGTTCTGATGTGTTGATAAATTCACATGCAAAGGCGTAGGTCTCGACAGTGAGTAGCAAATGTGGAGGAGCGCAGATGAAGAAGGTCGGTTGTTTGCCACTCACCAAAGTGGACACGTGGCTTGTGTGGCTTAAGACGCCAGACTTGGGCATCTTGGACGCCATCTCAAAGGACCACACGCCCAAAATGATCTTCTGACGCTGAAGTTAAAGCCTGTATATAATTAGGCGTCCAGTGTGCCGCTCTTTTCCAAGATTCATGAAAGTATTTGCATTTGTATTTACGGGATATTGGATATATGTGTAACTCATTACCTGCATTATCTACTTACTCAGTGTGCTGCTATGTTTATTCTGTTTAAACATTTCTTTTTTTGTAACGAACTGACAATAGTTGAGTTTGTTTGTGGTTTTTTTTTGTTTTTTTTTGTATTTCTTTCTCAGTGTTGAAAACATGATTACCGCAATTATGAAATAGATGTCTCCAGATGTTATTAGGAGAGCTGCAATTAGTGACGCGTGCAATATCTCAGTTGGCACTTTGCGTAAATAGATTTATTGTTGTAAATTAGCTCACTATTTTAGCATTCTATTTTTTTTAAAAATATATTTGTTCATATAATAAGCCTGTAGTAAAATCAGTTTGAAAGCTGTTTGTGTGATGCCCAGCGAGAAATTGAGCCCAACAGGAATGGAAGGTTGAAATAAATGTACACACACTTTGCCGTTGGAGAACATTTAGACCTGAGAATTTTGATAAAGTTCAAATTAGTATGGCATACCCTTTCAAAATTCTCAAAGTCTATGTCAACTATTGTTCAAATATTATTCAAATAATGTTCATGTAATGTTCGTACAGTTTAGAATGTCTTAAATGCACTAAACAGCCTGATAAGTGCAACATTAATCTCTTCAGTTATGAAGAATCCTTAATTTACCTATTTCGATTCAGGCCTTGTTAAAAAAATGTCGAATGGAAAAAGAATGAAATGGCCGCCATCTTTCCGTTGTCTGTTTGTCGGTGCTCAAAGACGCAAAGGGCAAAGACGCGAAGTACAAAGACGAAAAATGCAAAGACGCATTCATTGAATTTTTTTTTAAACTATCAAAACAGACAACTTTATATTCACCATAAGATGAGAGTATAGACAGTTTACCTGGCTTTAGATATCAACACAGTTTTCCTAGCTTAACTTATCAACACCATTTTCCTGGTTTAACTTATCAATACAGATTTCCTACTAGCTAAACTTATCAACTCAGATTTCCTGGACGAGCGTATCAACCCAATTTACCTGTCTTAGCGTATCACACAGGTTGCCTATAAAACCAGACATTTAATTTAAATATTTTAAAAAAAAACAGATTTCACCATTAGTTCAAATATATCAGATGTGGCCCGACCATGTCTTTTGTTGTTGCTGCTTGCTTGTTTCACAAAGATATAATAATAAAAATATCATAAGGGCATCATAAAGAAAACTGTAACTTATCTCTAAAAGAAACAGTAGAAC